TCAATTCTGCAGCTAAAATTTCTGCATATTTTTCTTTTTCATATTCCTCAGCAAAATTGTTAGTGCTTAAAAATTTTCTATTTCAGTACAAGCAGCACATTCTGATTTATTGTTTATGCATGAATGACAATTTATGGTATCATCAAGATCATGTATGTCAGGAAATTCAATGCATAAATGGTCATGTGCATAACAATCAACCAAGTCATCCAACAAATCAATGTGAAATACAGAGTGTTCTTCCCTAGGGTGTTTCATGGCATCTAGAATGTTGAACTTGACTATATTATCACCAAACTCTAAGGAAAGAGTTCCAGCATGCACATCTATTTTTGTTTTTGCAGTTTTAAGAAAAGGTCTACCTAAAATGATTGGTACCTTAGTTGTAGTTTCACCCTCCATCTCTAGGATATAAAAGTCAGCAGGAAAAATTAGTTCTCCTACTCTAACTAAGACATCTTCAATTAATCCTGAAGGGTAAGTACTACTTCTATTTGCAAGTTGAATCACCACACCAGTTGGAATTAAAGGACCAAGCCCCAAAGATTTAAAGATAGACATAGGCATGACATTGATAGATGCACCTAAGTCTAACATGGCATTTTCAAATATGCAATTACCTATTGTACAAGGGATAGTGAACGTACCTGGATCCTTGCATTTCTGAGGCATTGGTTGAATGATAGCAGAAACATTCTCTCCCAGACTTATTTTTTCATTCCCTTTCAGCCTTCTTTTATGGGTGCACATTTCCTTCAAGAATTTGGCATATCTAGGGATTTGTTTGATTGCATCTAGCAGAGGAATGTTTACTTCTACCTTTCTGAAAGTCTCAAGCAATTCTTTATCTTTTTCAGCTTCAGCTTTCCTAGTTTGTAAAACTCTTTGTGGAAAGGGTAGTGGAATGCTTGGCTCTTCATCCTTTGACTGGAAAGATTGCTTCTCCTTGTTTTCAGATTTCTCAGATGCAGTGGCAGGTTTCACATCATTTTTAACTTCCACAGTCTTTCCAGATCTAAGTGTGATGGCACTAACATTTCCTGTAGGATTAGGAATAGTTTGAGAAGGCAACTTACTTGATCCTTGTGCTTGAAGTTGGCTTATGGAAGATGCCATTTGTCCTACTTGCTTTTCCAAGTTTTGAATGCTAGCATCAGTTCTTTGTTGGAATTGCAAGTTTTGCATAGCCATTTGTTTTACAAGGTCCTCCAAGGAAGGGTTATTTTGTTGTTGTTGTGGTTGTTGCATTGACTGCCTTGGAGCTTGTTGGAAAGGTTGCCTATTTGGAAATGGTTGTTGTTGTGATGTGTTGTTGTTGCTCCATCTGAAACCAGGATGATCATTGTATCTGGGATTGAAGTTATTTCTGGCTTGGTCATTTCTTGGTTGTGAGGAATTTGGGAAGTTATTTACAGCAGCTACTTCTTCAGGATTATCTTCTTGTAGCTGAGGGCATGCATCAGTTGGATGAGAGGGACAAGCACAAATGCCACAGAGTTTAGCAGGCGCTTGTTTCATCATGGCCAATCCTCGCACCAAAGAGGTCAATTCATCTAATCTATTCTCTAGTCTTTGATGTTCAGTACTAGATAATTGTACCTCATTTACTGACCTTGAACTAGTTCCTCTTGTTGCACCAAATTGTTGTGTGTTGGCTGCCATATTTGCAATCAAGTCTTTGGCAGCAGCAGGAGTTTTATCCATTAGAGCACCACCACTAGCAGCATCGATCATGCTTCTATCCATTGGTAGGAGACCTTCATAAAAGTATTGAATTAGAAGTTGCTCACTGATTTGATGTTGTGGACAACTTGCACATAGCCTCTTGAATCTCTCCCAATAGTCATGTAGTGTTTCATCATTCATTTGCTTGATGCCACATATGCTCTTTCTTATGGCTGCAGTTCTAGAAGCAGGAAAGTATTTTTCTAGAAACAGTCTCTTCATTTCATCCCATGTGACTCTTTTAGGAGGGAGATAATACAACCACTCCTTGGCTGCATCAACTAGTGAAAACTGGAATGCTTTCAACTTTATGCTTTCTTCATTGCTACCAGCGGGTTTCATGGTTGAACATACAACATGAAACTCTTTCAAGTGCTTGTGGGGATCTTCACCTGAAAGTCCATGAAATTTGGGTAACAAATGAACTAAACTTGATTTTAGTTCACAGTCATCCTCATTAGCAGAAAATTGAATGCATAAAGGTGGATTTGAAACATCAGGTGCAGCCAATTGTTTTAGTGTCCTATTATCAGCCATGTTATTGTTTTGATTATTAGAAGTATTTCTAAAAAGTCTTCTTCTAGTTATCCTTAGTGTTCTTTCAATTTCAGGATCCAAATCAAGTAAAGGACTAGTAGAAGATCTTGTCATACACTATACAAAAATACAAAGAGAAAATGAAAATAAAATAAAATGAAAGATATCTAATATAACAAAATGACACCTTTAATCCCCGGCAACGGCGCCAATTTGACGAGAGGTTGTCGAAGCCTCTATCAAACACAAATGTAAAATGAGTTTAAACTTGTAGCACAGTAGTGCCCCAAAGTCGTCTCTCGAGGATCAAAGGAAATTCTTTTTATTATATTAGCAGTATTAACAAAATTTTGGAAAAAAAGGGGGGGGTTTGGAGTTTGATATAATTTTTAGAACAAGAAGTTGAATAATAAACTTAGATGATAAAAACTTCAACTTGTGGATTTTCGTTCTTTGGATTTATCCTTGGTTCAAAATCTCAATCTCAAATAATAATTAAATTCTTGCATTTAAGTTCAATTAGTTAAGCACCAACAAAACTTAAATAGATTCTTTCCAAAGTTCAAGCGAACATTATTTGAGTCCATTAGGTTAGGATCAAGCGTCCAATTTTAATCCCTATTTGGTCTCTAAGTCCAAGAATCCAACAAGCCATCCATTGGAGAACTTAATTAATCAATTCTTGCTTGTCCCAAAGTTAACCAATCAAGCGTCAATTAATTTAGGAGATTCTTCAAATGTTTAAGCAAACATGATTCGAGTTAACAAGGTTAGAATTATTCATTCACATTTAATCCCTAGTTAAACTCTAAGTCCTTGAATCGGCAAACAATTAATGAGTCAATCAATTAAGTCCATGAATATTCCTTTGTCTTTCTCAAAATTAATGTAAACAAGCGTCACATAATTCTTGGTCTTGCATTCCTTCTTAAGTCCAATGTAAGTAAGCATCACATAGGTCTTAGTTCAAGGAGTTAATGAGAACGTCTTATGTAATGAATTTAAGTGATCAATTCAAATTCAATTATATAAGCATAAACAAGATAGAAAGATAAAGATAAATTCAATTATTAAGAGTTGAGGATACACAAAATTTTCTTCAAACCTCAAAATCCATTAGAACTTATTACCACAAGCTGAATTAGAAACTTAGCTATCCATAAAATTAAAAGACATTATAACATTAAATAACAAGAAAGACTAAGAAGAAATTGAGAAGAAGAAGAAGAAAGGGAGGTAGAAGAACACCCAAGAGTAACTTATTTGAAGGTGTTTTGGGACATCTTGCAATGGAGAAGTGAAGGCCTATTTATAGCCTTCATACAACACAAAAAAATTGTAAAATAATGGGGAAAAGAGTAGACAAAACGAAATGGGAGAGTTGGTGGGATGAGTTGGTGTTGTTGGTGGGATGAGTTGGATTCCATTTCCGCACCGATTTTTGACCACCGAATTGGACCTTCTAGATGGACGAATTTGCCAACCGCTCCTTCTGCAAATATTTAGGTCTTTGTCGTAGCTTTCCAGGGCCACCGAGTTTGCTCGATTTGGATCACCACAGCCCAAGTTATGGCCTGAAAACAGAGACATGTTCATCAGCCCAAAAACAGCGAAAATTTTGAATAATAATTCCCAACTATCCAATTAGGCCCAACAACACACATATCTATCTAAATCCTATAATTAGCCATGAATGGAATGTAAAATAGCTAAATTAAAGGAAAAGATACATATCAAATTATGATTTATCACTTTCATTAAAGAGAATTTCCTCTCTATATATAGTCATATTATTAGTAAAATTATGCGATCTAAAAATACGAATAAGCAATGGGAGATCCATTTTCAACGGGTAGTGAAATATTTGGAGAAGGTAGATTTTGGAGTTTAGAAATAAATCCATATGGTGGTGAAATCTTGAAATCCATGCATGTTGAATGGGGGTAGTGATCTAAGATAATATGTGCAGTTTAGAGATAAATAGTCAATTCTTAGGAGAGTTGAAGAGAATAAATAATATTTGAAGCTTGGAGATAAAATATATATTTGAAGAGATCGTTCGTTATGACATTCTATCAGGAATAGGTACGAAGGTTTCATTGCCATCTGGGATGGTATGCACTCGCGCGTTAGCCATTAATAAAGAACTTGGTTGAGTGGAAGTGGCAGTAGCCATGGTAGTCGCCGTGGCGGTAGCCATAGTCGTGGACAAAACTGGAGATGAAGCGGCCCCAGTAGTAGTGGCAGGAGATACTATTGAAGCAACAGGAGCAGGAGTTGAAGCAACAGAAGAGGCCATGATAGCGGAGGAAAAGCAGTAAGGAGCAAAGGAGAAATATCACCGGAGAAGAAGAAGAAAACTTGAATGTGAAGGAAGGAAGTAAAACGGTAAAGGTGATTTTAACCCTAAGGTAACAAGTTAATGGGCCTCAAGTAAAATGGGCTTTTTGAGTAAATTCAAATTTAATGATTATAACGGCCGCCAAAATACTTTGGTAACAGTAAAAAAACAGAAACATGCGCCGTATATGCCATCAACACAACCTCAACGGTCAGGTGCATTAAATGAGTTGAGAAGCTAATTTTCAGGTGAGGGAAGCTAGATTGTAGATTTGTTGGTTGTATATGAGTTGAGAACTCATTTGGTGCATGAATGTTGACAAATCAGTGGTTGGATTGATCAACATCTCACTTTTTCGGAGTTTTGGAAAAAATGGGGTTTTTGATGATTTTGATGCCTTGAGAAGTTGCATGTTGAATCTGAAGTTGTTTTTGAGTTGTATGAAGTCTATACATTTCATTTCATGGATTGCATGTGGTTGAAGTTGTTGATTTTCAAGTTTTGAAGGAATTTTTGAGGTTTTTGGAGGTTTCTGGTTGAAAATGTGCCAGGCCCAGTTCTTGCATCGAGCGTGCATTCATTTGAGGCCACCATTATCAAATCATGTCGGGCATGAAGCTGGTCGCGCTGGGTGTGGAGACTCTTGTGAGTCTCTATTTAAGTTTGCGTCGGGCGTGATTTGAATGCGCCGGGTGTAAGTATGTTTGGTCTTTAAGTCTTCATGAAAGTTGTAGCCTTGGATGTTAGCTTTCCAATGGTGCTGGAAACACCCAAAAAGAAGGTCTAGAACTCCAGATATAGTTGTTTTAGTGAACAAGGGTCAAGTTGCCAACATTGTTTATAGCTGTTGCAGTTTTTAGAATTTTTAACAAGGTAAATGATGGAATTAGGAATTGGTGTCTTCATGAAAGTTGTAGGAAATCTTCTTATCCTTCATATCAGATAAGAATGAGCTTGATAGGAGTAGTATACCTTCATATATGATGTTTTATGTGAAGGTTTCCATTTCACAATAAGTGATTTGGTTAAGTTGAAAGTTGTTTTGGGTGCTTAGGTTGATTGATGTTGTTTGGGTGTGTAAGTTGGCATGATAGATGGGTTGTAAACATGTAGTATGAGTTGTATTATGTGATATGTTGTTAAAGTTGCTATATGTTGCATATTTGGTGAAACTAAGTTGTTTTCATGTTGTTTATTGTTGAATTATTAATAAGTTGAGATGTATAATTTGATGTGGTTTATTGTTGTAAAGTTGTTTAAAGTTGTTAAGTTGCATTGAGTTGATTTAAAGTTATCGGATGACTATTGTTATAAAGATGAATGAAAGGTGTCTACAGTTGTGAAGTTGTAAAGTTGATCTCGTGTTGACTATAGTTGCTCAAGTTGTTTATTTAAGTAGTATAAAGATGCCTATTGTTGTAAAGTTGAAAGTTGCCTTAAAGTTGTTGAAGTTGAGACTTGATGACTATAACTGCTTATTGTTGTAAAGATGGTTATTGCTGTAAAGTTGTTATGATGCCTATAGTTGTAAAGTTGTAAAGTTGGGGACATATGGTAAAGATATATGTCCTATGTTGAGATACATAGTACTAATGTGATAAGTTGAAAGTTGTTTTAAAGTTGAATCCCTTAGTACTGTGTGGGCGATATGGAAGTAGTTGATCTATGTCATGGTTGAATGACTAATTTGAGTAAGGTATATAGTTAGAGATGTAGTCTTTAACTAGGTATTAGAGGGTGCGTGGTACTTGGAGGGCAGTGGGTGGGCTAATTCCATACGTGGATTGGTTATGCAAGCCAAGGCCGTGGTAGGCCCATACCCAAATCCTTCTACCCTAACAATAGTACTGGACCTCCGAGTCTAAAAGACGCACTTGAGAAATTGCCTATTTTTGTCTATACCTGGTTCTCTTCAGAGTTCCTAATCATGTCTTATACTTGACCTGGTTGACATAGATCAAACGTTGGATTCGGTAGGATTTATGCCACTTAGACTGCTCAACCTCAGTTGTTGAAGATCTCCTAGTTGTATATGCGTGACGACGCATTAGTTGATGTTGCATTCAAGTTGTATATAATGTATATGAATGAGTTGATAGTCGTTGAATTATTGTGTTAAAAACTATGTGATTGTGTTGTG